CAAACACAAAGGCTCCCGTGGATCTGTTGGGTTGCATTCAGGGGGTGGTCCATGCAGTGTGGGCCCCGAAAACCCCCACCTAGACTGGGACACTTTGCCCTGGACAAAATCCTCCAGGCCTTGAAGTTGCTTGTGTTGCTCGTGGGCTGGCTTCGCTTCCTTCCCCTCCCCTCCCCTCACTCTCCTCCCCTCTGTTATAACCTAAGGCCCCCTAACTATCACTCCGAAGCCTGTTCTGTATAAGCCCACCTGCTGCTTCCCCTCCCCTTCTCCCTTCACATCTAACTAGGTTAAGTTTTAACTTCCCAAAAGGCCATAAAACAAAGGCCTGAGGTAATAGCTCCTGACAACCCCTTCCCTACCTGGTGGCCCGTCACGAATTGTGTTAATTGCATTAGATTGTATTAGATTGTACTATTCTTCACAAAAATAGCTTCGTTATATTTGTATCATAGCAATACCTGTAACTTGGCCTTACTGTATGTGTTTTCCTATTCCCTTTGGGTGACCTAATTGATATGTTAATCAATGCTCTCCTCTGTAAAGAATTGTAAAATCTTACCTAATTGATATGTTAACCATTGTTGCCCTCTACAAATAACAGTTGCTAAAGTAAGGTACTAAGGTTGTTAATTGCTGTTAGACTTCTCTATTCTTTGCTAAGAAAAACAAGACTTCTTCTTATCTAAACTTGCTTGTATGCAGGGAGACTTGCAATCGCCATTTCTGTTTTGTAGTGTGCCACACCCCCATCCCCCTCCTTACATTGTGTGACCACCAACTGTTTGTGGATTTACAAAATAAAAGCCCTGACTTTTAGCTGTCAGGTAGGCAGTCTCCAAATTGGCTCCTGGAGGCAATAATAAAGGCCTGGAAATAAAGCCTTTGCTTCCCAAATTTTAGTTTCTTGCTTCCTTAGATTTTATACCAGGGTCTGAGTTATCACACCCTCCCCTCTCCTCTTCTTGTAATAACTATGGCTTCAGATGTATGCAGCTATCTAGAAGGATGTGTATACTGCATTCACTGACTAAATTTACATCATGCTTAACTTTTATCTTGTGCATTTGTCGCAGGTGTATATGCTATGTGGCTTGAGCTAGTAAGCTTAGGTTTTTCTAGGGACATGTCTTATTCCCTTTTTTAGATTGCCAGATAGTGTAATATCATCAAAGCCAGCAATGCTGCTTTGCGGGAAAATTTCCAAGCCAAGCCAAACGCAGACTGCACTGAGGAAATAAGAAGGAAGCATTTAATTTTTATGTCAGTGGACTGTTGCAGGATAATTCCTCAAAGGCAACAACCCTGAACTTAGGAGGAGATTAGTTTATATAGAATTCAGAAGTGGGAACTACAAAGCAAGTAATAAAATGCTGTGTAATTGGTTACATGCATTGAGTCATACATTAACAGGCAGGTGAGTCTTGAACAGATTGAAACAAAGGGGTTGTTTACCATAATATAGAAACACTCCAGGAACAAGGGGAAGAGACCCTTACAGAATGAGCATAGCTAAAAGCATTACCATAACACAGAACCGTAGTGGGGAGGGGGTCTTACAGAGAGAGCATAGCCAAAGGCGTCCTTGTATTAACCCTGGGTGCCTTAAAGTGTAGATAATTACTCTGTCTCAGTGCTCCTCAGAGGGACACAGCTGGGCAGAGGACACTGTCAAGGTCAACTGAATTCAGCAGAAACCACAGAACAGAGACTTGGTCAGAAACCTCTAATTGATCATGAAATACTTGTGCCTCCACACTGTGAACCACATCTGCAGGGAACTGTCAGTGTTTGGAGCTTATTCTGAGCAAAGTGATTGCCACTTTCCAAGACAGGACATTAGGGAATTTCAGAACTGGCTAAGAAGCAACCAGCCAACAGGGCACCCCAGTTCTAGCCTGTGTCTGAACTCTTTGTAGACATAGGGGAGATTCTAGGGCTCAAAAGGAAAAGTAGCACATACACAGGGCTGGAAACATCCAGCCTCCAGGCCATTGAGCTTTATAAGGGGGCACTTTGATAAAAGCTGAAATTGGTTATCTGTTATCTAGAGGATGTCAGGCTTCCGCGCAGGAACTAACTCAGAGGAATGCTCTATAAGGCTTCTCTGACCAAGGAATTCTACTTTACCAGGTATGACCCTGGGGCCAAAAGGCTTGGGAACTATCAGGAGAAACTTTGTCAGTGAAAGGATTATGGCCCAGACGGGACATTGTAGCTGGTGAAGCCTTAGGCGGAACCAAGGAGCTCCATCTCCCCCACCCCTAGGAATTTACCCGTGGCCCTATCTTCCTCACCCCTAGGAATTTACCCCTGGTGCCAAATGAGTGCCAATGAGATACCTGCACATCCCTAATGCCCCTCAGGCACCACCCCCCAATTTAAGCTACATGTATGCCCCTACTCCACGTATCCCATGGAGAGATCGCCGGACGGGGGGGGGTGCCGGACCCCAGAGCATGGGGGGGGTCTCTCCCCACATTCTTAAAATAAAGGTCATTTATATTTCATACTTCTTATCTTTTCAGCCCACCGCCACAATTGTATCAGTCAGGTCCTCTCTAATGGGTCAGGGACTAATTCAGGGATAAGCCTGTTAGGTTTCCCACATCCTGTCCCCTAGCCATTTGGGGCTGCACAGGCCTCATCCAACCCACCTGAGTCCCTGTTTATATGACTTCTTAACTAGTTCTTTTTCAGCCATAGATGCTCAATGATGTAAGGAAAGATGTAAGGAAAGCCTGGGTAGATTCTCTCAGGATCCTGAAAAGGTTTCTAATGGTTTCCATACCCTAACAATGGCTTGTGACCTCAACTGGAGAGTTCTGGTTTCCTGTTATACAATAGCAGAAAGAAAATGGATTATAAGAGCCACTAAGCAGGCTACTGATGAGCCTTCACAACCTTACTCTTTGATAATCAGCCAACTGCTGTATTATTTGGGTCCCAAGAGGAAGCAGTAATTTTTAGTCAGTGAACTCCAGATAAACCACAATTAGTCAACTGAGTGATGTAACTTATCCAGTCTTTAATAAGCATAATGAAGCAGCAGACAAATGAGAGCTGAACAAGAAAAGGAGGCAGGTTAAAGCCATGTGTGTTCCTACTTGGTAAGGCTCATGACAAAGCCCACAGTGCTAGGGGAATCTGAGGTGGTCCAAAGAGTGACAGAAGCCTTGAAAGAGTTATTCAGACAGCTTTCGTTACCTCTATGCTGAACAGCCATTTGGAAGATTTCTTTTTCAAAGCTTGCTTTATGGTAATACCAGAGTGCCCCATACCAGTAATTGGAAAGTTGCAGGCAGCTGAGTTGGTTAGAAATATAGGCAGTGAGACAGGGCTAGGTCCTCAAAGGAGCCAGTACAGATACCTTACAACTGTGGAGACAGACACCTCCTGCTGTGGGCCAGGCCTCAAGACAAAGGATCAAACAAATGCATCCACATCCTAAAGACTGATATTCTAATTAGTTCTCTATCACTCTGAAGTCACTACCTCATCCCCCCAGGAGAAAAGTCACAGCTCCAAGAATGCCTGTTTCCTATTTGACTTGCTTTCCCATTTGTCCCTAATGTAATTAATTTTACCTGAACTATTGATCTGATTGGCTAACTATAGTTATGTCCCACCTTCTGCCCATCTGCTTTGTGAGTTCCCAGTCTTCCCCCACCTTGAACCCATGGTTTTACTCTATAAAAGTCCCGGGAAAAGACAGAGTCTTAGGCAACCTGCTTGAGTCCCCTTCTGTCTCTCTTCAGACAGAGCTTTCTTTCTCTCAATAAATACATTCTACTCTTAACCTCCGTTGTTCCTAAAATTCATTCTTCAATTTTAGAGAACAGGAGCTCGCGGACATAGTAGGTCGGGAGTTTCATTCCCCTATATCAGGAAGAGATATATTCTTCTTACTCAGGGACAGGCTGACATTCAAACCTCTGGCAATCTGGGTCCTATATGCTAGGGACTCAGGTACCCTGACCCCATGGGATGCCATGTCTCTGCTAGTTGATCCCCAGGTGTGGGATGTGGCACACCGAGGACCCTAATCTATATCTTTATGGAAAATAGTATTACCCTAAGAAATGAGCTAGCCTGAGGTTAAAGCCCATTACTAACAAGTTACTGGTGCCACGCCAGTTCCCATGCAATGCACCCACTGTATCGTAGCTAAACTATTAGGCAAATATCACCTAGCACAAGATCTCAGAGCCATCAATGAGCTAGTGGTACCTATTCATTTATTGGTAGCAAACCCATATATCCTTTTAACACACATACCAGGAGACTCTAAATGTTCCCTTGTCCTTGAACTCAAGGATGCCTTCTTTTCTATCCTTGTGGATCCTAACGCGCTTTGAATGAGATCCCCAAACAAAACTTTCCCACAGTATGTTTGGACTGTCTTGTCTCAGGGTTTTAGAAACAGCCCCCTTTTGTTTCAATGGGCTTTAGCTCAAGACCTGAAAGTTTAAAGTTAAAAAATTGGGGCTTATTATATTACACAGGTATCTTCATTTATAGCTCCATCAAGGATTTATCTGATCAAAACATCATTAAGACTCAACTTTCTAGGGAAAGAGGGTTATGTAATGTCCCAACATAAGGCCCAGATTTCTCTTTTTTTCGTGAAATTTAATGTATTAAACCTTAACACATCTCTGAGGTAGTTAAGTAAACAGTACTACCAATTTTAATACATAGTAAACAGAAACATGGGTAAATGACATATGTAAGCAATAAGGATCAGAACAGACCTTAGGGGCTTAGGGCTCTCTCTTAGTTCTAATCCAAAAAAATGAAACTGAACTTTCCTTATTTTAAAAAATGTGTTATCATTTAGAAGATTTTTACTTTTTGTTTCCCACTTGCTGATCATATCTCCCAAGTTGGCTCCTTTTCCTTAAATATGTTAAACTGGGTACGACTATCACTGATCAAAGTTTAACTTCTTCTAACCTGAATTAGTACAAAATTAAGACATTATCTTGTGAGAACTAAAATTGTATTTAATATTTTTATTTTAGACTGCAAAAACAAGCAAACAAACAACAAAAAAAAACATGAAAAAGGCTCATCAAATGATGTAATGTCATCCTTCCCAAGAAAGCAGAAGGTAGATCCTACCGCAAAGAAAAGATGCTTAGTTAATAGATGCTGAATTTAGAGGTACACTAAAAGATTATCAGTTAACTTCTGAAAATTCTAGGTTGTATTCACCTCCCTGTGATAACTAACCGTTTAAGGTAGGCTTTCCTTATAATTAACTGTCACCTAAAATATAGAACTCCATTAATAACCTAACAGATTTGGTCTTACTGGAAATTCTTAACCAAGGGTTTATTTTTTTTTCTTTAATGATGAATTATCTTAGTATTAAGTCACTGCATTTCTGTAATAAAAAATGAAGAGCATAATTATGCAAGCGACTTAAACCCACTCTGCTACTAGCAGGAAAACTATTTTGGTTCTTCAGGAAAAAAAAATAAAGTTAATTTTCACAGTTATATTCCAATAATTATATGATGCAAAGAACCAAATTGTAGCAATGAATGAACATGCTTCAGAGAATGTGTGCATTCAATATATCTGACAGTAAAACTATAGTTAAAATGCTAGTTAGAACAAATTGGTCTTCAAAGTATCAATTCCTTTAAAAAAAATTACTGAGTCTACCAAGAAAATACAAAAACATAAGGCTGTAAGTAAATGATAGTTGTGTTCAGGCTATTACAGTGAAGTTATCCTCAAGGCCACAAACATCCTGCTTCATTCACTGCTGCTTGCACTCTGCTGGGTCTTGATCCTTCTTCGGGTCATAGTCTGGATCATTTTCCTCATCTCCTTCTTCTTCCCCTTCGTCATCTGCTTCTTCACCTTCTTCATCATAATCATCATCATCATCTTCAATAGCTTCTCCAATAAAATATAATACTGATCTTGGGATTATACGCTCATATAAAAAGTGACCAATTTCAAAGTCTGCAGCAAGGATAGTTTCAGCAGCATCATCCAGATCTCCACTCTCGGGAACTTCAGGAGGAGCAAAAAAATTAAAGAATGAATCATTGGAAATTGTTTTAGTCACAGTACGAACTGTCCCACGTCCCTTATGTTTCTGCTTCTTTTTAATAGTTTTCAAAGTGACACTCTTTCCTTTTTTCCAATCTATCTGGCACCCTGCACAGCCCATAATTTCAGGCCCATCAAACGAAAAGGGATCAGAATCATCTGGTTCAGACCTCATCCTATACGTCTTTGTCAACACTTCATTTGTGAAATACTCATTGGGTTCAAAGTGAAATTCTAAGATAAAACTCATAGGCTGGCCAGCATCTGAGAATTTCACTTTAATGTCCTTCAAATGCTTCAGAATAGGTTCATCATGTTCCTGAACCATGTCACTGAGCAAATCAACATTCTTAAAAACAGTCAACCAAAATTCAGGAATTCCTTTAGGATCTTCTTTTTCTTCATCTTTTTTCTCATCTTCAATTTTGGCCTTTGCTTTCATCTCCTCCGAAATTTCATCTTCCTCATCTGGTTTCCATTCATATTCTTCTTCCGCTGGTTCATAAATTGCATTAATGATCTCAAATTGCTTATCGAATAGAGGCTGATAAAGAACCACATACTTTCTTTCAAGATCATGAACTTCCTCATAGAATTTAGCTTCTATCTGTGCACATTTAACTTGAAGGTTTTTGAGAGCATTCACTCTTCTTTTAACTACCATAGGCAAGCTTTCAATGTATCCTGTTGGTGTGTCTACCAGACCATCAAGTCTTTCTTGAAGGGCTGCAAGAATCTGAGGATTTTGCATCATCTGAACGCTGACGCGCTTTGATTTTTGTTTCTTCACCAGTTTCTTTTTCTTCTATTTCTTCAACATCATCCAAATCTTGATCAAGTTCATATTGTTCTTTGTTATCAATGTCTGCCATGATGCGCTGACGAACTCCAGATACCAGCGGCTAGTGCAGGCAGTCAGGCGGCCGGAGCTGCGCAAGGAGTCCCAGATTTCTCAACAAAGGCCTTGATCTGGGATGTGTTTTAACTCCAGTACAAAGGCAACTATCCCCAAGGAGAGCAAGGCAATTTTCTGGGCCTTCCAGAGTCTGAACAACAGCTGAGGGTTTTCTTGGGAATGGCAGACTTCTGCTGCATATGGATGCCCCATTTGGGAGTAATAGCTAAACCTCTGTGTGAGGCAACTCGGGGACCAGGAACTGAATGCTTATAATGGACAGCAGCCCCAAGAAGTGTTTAAAGCCTTAAAACAAGCCCTGATGCCGGCCACAGCATTAACCAAGCCTTTTTCTCTCTTTTTGGCTGAAAAATAAGAAGTAGCCACAGAGTGCTAACTCAATGTCTGGACCCAGAAAACTGACAAGTTGCTTACTTTTCCAAGCAACAAAATAGAGCCGCTACAACACTTTTAGTACAGGAAACTTCTAATATAACTTCTTAGGAGAAAGCTCTTAGTTCTAACCCACACCAAGTTCAAGTTCTGTTAGAATTCAAGGGATATTTGTAGACGATAGAGAAAGGCTCACTAAATATCAGGCAATACTTACTGAAACCCCAGATGTTTCTCCTCAGTCTTGTACCATTTTATTTTATTTTATTTTATTTTGTTTTTTTAAAAATCCATTTTATTTCAAGGATAAAACAAAGAAGAAGAAAAAGAAGAAGAAGAAGAGGAGGAGGAGGAGGAAGAGGAAGAGGAAGAGGAAGAAGAAGAAGAAGAAGAAGAAGAAGAAGAAGAAGAAGAAGAAGAAGAAGAAGAAGAAGAAGAAGAAGAAAACTACAACAAAATTTCAAAACACTTCAAAAAGGGGGCAACAATGGTACGCACATTGTGCACTGTCAACCCCAAATCATTCACCCAGAGCACAAGACATCTGCATTCAATTGTCCAAACAGTACTGGCACAAATCTTTCTCTTCAGCAAACTAAAGACAAATCAGTAGTATATCTATCTTAACTATTTCTATATACATATACTTATACAAACATATACATGTTTTTTCTTCCAGCTTTTTACACTAATGAAACAATATGATATTTACAAATGTGTCTTATTTTACTGAGCGTGTTCTCAAGTTGCATCCACTTACCCATAAAAGTCTCCAGTTTATCCTTCTTTGTGGCTGAGTAGTACTCCATTGTATAAAAAATACCATATCTTTTTTATCCATTTCTTAGTCAATGGGCATTTAGGTTGTTTCCAAGATCTGGCTATTACAAATTCTGTTGTGGGTGCACATATATCACTGTGATATGATGTTTTTAATTCTTTTGGGAATATACACAGAAGGGGAATAGCTGGGTTGAATAGGACCTCCAATTCTAGTTTTTTGAGGAATCTCCACACTGATTTCCACAGTGGTTGTACCAGTCTGCACTCCCACCAACAGTAGAGAAGGGTTTCTTTTGTCCTATAACCCCTTCAGCATTTATTATTGCTTGATTTTTTGATAGTAGCCATTCTTTCTGGGGTGAAGTGAAATCTCAGTATTGTTTTAATTTGCATCCTTCAAATGACTAATGATATTGAATGTTTTTTCACAATTTATATGCTGTTCACATTTCTTCATCTGAAAAGTATGTATTCATTTCAGATGCACATTTTTAAACTGGGTCATTAAATCTGGGAAGACTGATTTTTTTTAGCTCCTTATATGTTCTCAATAATAATTCTTTGTCTGAAGAACAGGCAGCAAACATTTTCTCCCACGCTGTGGGTTTTCCTTCACTCTTGGTGGTTTCTCTTGCTGTGCAAAAGCTTTCCAGTAGGGTGAGATACCAGTTGGTGATTCTTTGTGGTAGTTCCTATGCAGTCCAGGTTTTGTTCATAACGTCTTGCCTACACCAAGGATTTCAAGAGTTTTATGTACTCCATCTTCCAGCAAATTTAATGTTTCTGTTTTAATATTAAGATCTTTGATCCATTCTGATTTTATCTTAGTACATAGTAAAGATATGGGTCTGGCTGTAAATCTTCAGCATGTGTAGAGCCAGTTTTCCCAGCACCATTTATTAAAGAGGCTTTCTTTCTTCCAGTGAATATGTTTGACGCCTTTGTCAAAAATAAGGTGGCTTAGTATATCTGGAGTTGTTTCTGAATCTTCTAATTGTTCCATTGAACTTTGGGTCTGTTTGGTTTTTTTTGTTTGTTTGTTTGTTTTGTTTTTGTTTGTTTGTTTGTTTTTGCCAGTACCACACTTTTATCACAGTAGCTTTATAGTATAATTTCAAGTCAGGGATTGTGATGCCCATGTCTTGTCTTTGTTGCCCAGGATTGCCTTTGCTATTCTAGGTATTTTCTGTTTCCAGATAAATTTTAGGATTGTATTCTCTAATTCTGTAAGATATTCTATTTGAATTCTGATTGGGATTGCATGAATCTGTATAACAGTTTTGGAAGTATGGCCATTTTCACTATATTAATTATTTCTATCCAAGAGCATGGGATAGCTCTCCATTTTCTAATATCTTCTTCAGTCTCCTTTTTTAGGATACTACAGTTTCCAATGTAGAGGTCTTTTACATCCTTTGTTAGATTGATTCCTATATATTTCATTTTTTTTGGATGCTATTGTAAAGTTATTGTTTCCCTGATTTCTCTCTCAGTGAGTTTGGTATTCATATACCAAATAGGAAGGCTATTGATTTTTGAATGTCAGCTTTGAATTATCAGCCACATTCTTGAATTTGCTTATTAAATCTAGAAGTCTTGTGATGGAGTTTTTTGGAGGTCTTCTAAGTAGAGTGTCTTCTAAGTAGAGTGTCATGTCATTTGCAAATAAAGATATTTTAACTTCTTCCTGTCCTATCTTTATTCCTTTTGTTCCTTTATATCCTTTATTCCTTTTATTTCCTTCTCCTGTCTAACTACTACAGCTAAAGTTGAATAAGGACTATGCTGAGTAAGAGTAAAAACAGTGAACATCATTATCTTCGTCCTGATTTTAGAGAGAAAGCTTTCAGTTTTTGTTCATTTAGCTATTGGCTAGTCATAGATGGCTTTTGTCAGATTGAGATAAAGATAAGCTATTCCAATTTTCTGTAGGGCTAGATTTTATCAAAAGCTCTTTCTTCATCCATTGAGATGACCATATGATTTTGTCCTTGGCTCTGTTAATATGGTGTATTACATTTATGGATTTACAGATGTTGAACCATCTCTGCATCCCTGGGATGAATCAGAGTGTACAATCTTCTTGACAATTTGCTGCAGTCTGTTTGCCAATATCTTACTGAGGATTTTTGCATCAATGTTCATTAGGGAGATTGACCTGTAGTTTTTTTCTTAGTTGGGTTCTTCAGTGGCTTTGCTATGAGGGTAATGCTTGCTTCCAGGAATGAATTTGGAAGTACTGCTTCCCATTCAATCTCATTAGAGTCTCAGAACTAGCAATGTTAAGACTTCTATAAATTTCGTGTAGAATTCAGCAGTGAACTCATCAGGGCTTGGGCTTTTCTTTGTTAATAGGTTTTTAATTACATCTTTGATTTCATTGATTGATATTGGGTTATTTAGGATTTTTTTATCTTCTTGATTTCAGTTTTGATCATGCATATGTATCTAGGAATCTGTCCATTTCTTCTGTATTTTCCATCTTTTTAGAATATAAGTTTTCAAAGTGGGTATGGATGAGCTTCTGGATTTCTGCAAGGTCTGTTGTGATTTTGCCTTTTTCATTCCTACTTGCATTGGATTTGAGTCTTTTCTTTCCCTTTTTTGATAAGTTTGGATAAAGGTTTGTCAATTTTATTTAATCTCTCAAAGAATCAACTCTGATTCTGTGATTCTTGGTATTCTTTTTTAGTCTCTAGTGTGGTAATCTCTGCTCTGATCTTTATAATTTCCTCCCTTGTATGAGCTTTTGGTTTAGCCTGATCTTTTTCTAGAAGTTTGAGTTTCAACATTACTTGTCTCCTTTCCTGATATGGGTATTTACTGCTATTAGTTTCCTCTTAAGATTGCTTTCATTGTGTCCCACAAGTTCATTGCCATTCAACTGTAAAAGCTGTCTAATTTCTTCTTTAATTTCATCTGTGAGCCACTGGATCTTTGCGCCACTTTAAACCCAGCCATCCTCCTCCCAATCAAACAAGAGATAGGACATGAATGTGAACAATGTTATGCCCAAAATTATGCCAGCTGCCATGATCTGAGGGACCAGTCATTGACAGGTATGGTTAGGACATGGTTCACTGATGATAGCAGCTTCATAAAGGTACTACAGCATGAGGAGGGCAGGTTACGCCACAGTCAGCCCTACCATGGTCATTGATGAGACAGGACTTACTATTGGGATTTCCTCCCAGAAGGTAGAATTTGTTGCCCTCACTCATGTTCTCTATCTTGCCCAGGACAAAAAGTCCAATATATATGTACTAACTCCAAATATGCCTTTCTGATCCCATGTGCTCATGCAGCCATTGACCAGCTGTCAGTCCCCAGTAAACATGGAGCAGAGATCTTCAAGCTCTTCAAGGCAGTAAGTCTCCCAAGTGAGGTAACACTTGTCTGTTGCTAAGTACATCAAGTATCATTGGACCTTGTCTTCTATGGTAATTCTAAGGAAGTTTTCATGCCAAATAGGGCTCTGATATAATTCTGGCCCATCAATATCTCTATCCATGGTACTATTCTAGTATCTTAACTTAGAGCCAAGATCTTCCACAGAAGAGCTTTAAATGATTTGTAATAATGCAGAAGGAATTCAAAAGGGCCAGTGGTGTTATATGCGACCCCCACTTGTTCTTTGCCACAGTGTGTGCAGTAGTAAATCTTTAAATTCCTGCACAATGCCTTCCACCTAGGGTGAAGTGCTACCACCGCTAAAGCACAGAGGCCTTATCGGGCCTGGAGTCCATAATATTGTAACCTATGTTTTCTATCTGTGCTCTCCATACCCCAGACTCATTCTCCCCCATTGCTTGAACTGACACAAAGGTGTGGTCTTCCCCAGAGAAGACTGGCAAATGGACTTCACTCATAT